AGGTTCTGACGAATCATTCCGAGCAACTGTAAATTGCAAGTCGATGGTATATTCATTATTTTTTACGCTATCAATAATACACTTACGACTGGCTTCATATTCGTCACATATGACCGACCACGGTTTCGTAGAGTATTTCATTAATTTTTTGCCAGTTTTAGTAGTTTGCTTCGATTCACTAATTGCAGTCTCTAAAAGTATTTTTAATTGATCTGAAATGTAAAAAGTATTTGTAATTTTGTAAGCATTATTGATATGACTATTTTTTTTCTCAATCTAAATCGAAAACTAACTCTCTAGGTTATCAACGTTTGTGTCCACTTTGTTTCTTTGATGTTTCTTTGATGGAACTATATTCGTAACATCTGCATTGGTTTCTGATTTCGACGAAGAATTCCGTGCAACTGAAGATTTCAAATCAAATGTATTTGCATTTGTATTTTTTTTCGAGGGATTAAAAACATCTTTAGAACCATTCTTTTCTTTCTCAGCTATATCTTCGGACTTTATTTTTAAGTCAACACTGGCATTATTCTGCTTATTTAAACAGTTTTCTTTAGTGGTCTTCGCTTTTTCTGAAATAACGAGAATGTTAATGTTTGCAAATATGCAAAGGAAAAGTGCCTACAAATGCAATTATATGCATTATGTTACACTTTATAAAATGTGTTTTTTTTAAAAAAAAAAAACCATACTTTTATACCAAATAAAATTTTAAATATTTTATCGAAACAAAAAAAAATGATAATATCCACTACTTTATATTTCAAATCATTTAAATCAATCTAAAACTTTTATGAAACTTAAAAACATGAATACAAATAAAAAATAACTGAAAATAAATATTTTAAATTATTTGAAGTTACCTACTCTCCGAAAACGAATAGAAAACTTAAAAAAAAAATACAACATTTTTTAATTGATTAAAAACTCATTAAATATGCATGTTTTATGAATTTATGAACAAATATGTAATAACCTTCGAAATATGCAAAATATGCAATATAAAATTTGGTGTTTAAATTCTGTGTGATATCCATCGGGGACATTTTAAACCACCATAGAATTCCATACACTTAATACAAACATACAAATGCATATAAATCCGGGCTCTAGTAATAATTATTCTTATTTAGATATCATTATTTCAACATCTAATTATCATGACTAATAGATGGCCAAATGGCAAATTATTACAAAGCATTAATTGATTTTCAAACAACTTTAAATGACGATTGATGCATCATTATTATTTAAAACTGTCGATTATACACAAAAAATGGCTATGAAATTTAAAAGTAGGTTTTTTGATAATTTTATCCATATCACCTTTTGTAGTTATACTATTGAAAGTTACTTGCAATGTGACTAACTCAAACAAACATAAATATTGAACTACATTTAACACGTTTTTTTTTTTAATTTTAAACCAATTTTCATTTCAATATACTTGATAATATTGTTGTCATCCGAAATACCTTTTACCTTCTTCAAAACTGCATCAAAATTTTTCAAATAAATTCAATAAAGTTACAAATTTTTTTTTATTACTTATTGTATCAAATCTATAATAATTGCAAAGGCCAGCAACAAGCTAATGATACTTTAAAAGCAAATTAAAATTAAATATCTAAATATATCAAAATGTTTTCAAATAATGCACTTAAGCAACACAAGAAACAATATATTAATGAAAAAAATGAGCAGAAATCTGTATTATTTAAGTTGAGATTAGTTTGGCTATTTTTTTTCTTTTGTCTACTCTTTTTAATTTCTTGGTCGCCATAAAAAAGAAGAAAAAAAAGTTTCTTGGCGATTATCTTGAACTGCAGAATGGCACATTCGCATCATAATGAAATTTATTAGAATAGATATGATTATATTATATGATGTTCGAAGCATGGAAATGTAATAGAAATATTTAAAGCATCTTTAACTGTCCATACCTCACGATTTTTCACGTCCCTTCTTGGGTAATTGGGTTTAATTTTAAGTTAATCGATGTTTTTTAACTCAACACTCAACATTAAGCAAAATATAATACATTATTTAAATTAAAGTTACATGTACATTTAAAATTTTTTTTTAAGGGTTTTCATAATGGTGATTCGTCATTAAGGAATAGTAAATCTATTGTTTTTGAACAATCGAATCCTATAAAAAAAAAACACAGCAAACATTGCCCAATATGATGTATAATATTTCTTCATTTTCAGGTAATTAATATTGATATAATCTTAATTTTGTATCTTAGTGTATCTTCTTGTTAAATACATGGCTATTCTTATAATTTTTGAAACGGTATATACAATAAAAACAATTAACCGGGGGAAAAAATATGGTATTTTCACAATTCAGTTAATTTAAATAAGTACCTACCACGTTTTCTAGCACAAATGTGGCTGCAATTGAAAAACGACAAGAGACATTTTTTGTTGATTATTAATCTCATTTTTAATGAAGCCGGTCATTTTTTTAGTTTTCCACAGGGGTGATGCGGGTATTGGCACCTACCTAAGGGAAATTGTCCATAAAATCTTTAATAATTGCAGCAGAAATACTAGACCTGTTTTAAAATATACCTAAACTCAACTTCTATTCATATTTACGAACTTGAAACCACTTAAAATTCTTTAATATGAATTAATACGCAATTATCTTATTATCTAATAATAATGATTATATAATTTCTTTAACAATTAAGTATTAAACACACATACCTACCAATAAATAAAATTTTTTTTGATCATGATTTTGAATGAAACAATATATAATCTATATTAAATTCAAACATTTTTTGTATAGTAATTTATATTTTATATTACTAACCAGTGGGCGGTATTACACGATAATACATTTTTTTTAAATAATTTTTATAAGTCAAGGCAAATAATCATCAGTACTGTGTAGTGACATAGCCTTATACACTTCGTAATTAAAAGTAATTTAGTACTAAAACTATTGAAATCAAATTAAAATGTACATACTTACAGCTTAATTTCGGGCCGGTTGATATTAGAAGAAATGCACCGAAAAAATAAATTTCGTTATAAATGTGTGATAAGAACAGTAAGCATATCAATTTTGATATGGATAAAATACTAGGAAGTTATAAATTAAGCTAATATCAATATCCACTTAATTTCGTAATCAGGTATCGAAATAACAAGGGGGCAATATTAACGCATCTCCCCTTATAGTCGGGAAAAGAACGTAGAAAAAACGTAAAAAGAAATCGTAAAAAAAATTACAGCTCTTCAAATGATGTATTACCGAAAGTGTTATAAGTCCCGAGAACCTTGCAGTTATAAGAGTTCGATCTTTTCAATATATTGGCGCCGCGATAAATCTTAATCTTATCTAGTACAGTTGTATGTCGCAACTTGCGCAGGTATTAGACAATGGTGACCAACCGTTTGTTAATAATAATAATGATATTGAAATAATACACCATTATATAGGAACTTAGCAAAAAGTCCCAGAATAAAATTATAATTATAATAAAAATAACAATGACAATCAGTTCCGTCTTTACCCTATGGGCACGTGAGGCACGTGCCCAGAGCCTCCAGCCAAATGAGGACCCCGAATAATCGAAATTACAATTTTAAATTATAAGCTGTAACGTATTAATATTTTATACGACCATCTATAAAAAAATAATTCTAAATTCTAGAAAAAAAATTTGCACATTTCACATGGACGCATATCGTACGCACGCGTTTTTAGTTTACATTGATTAAATATATATATACGCATATATATTGAAAGCTAGGTAAATGGCAATGTTAAAATGTTAAATAAATAATACTTAATAATTGTGTGCAATTAGGTACATTTGATATCTTATATTTCTTATCCCATTATCTAAACCGGGTTTTCTTTAATAATTTATATCAGTTTCTGCCTGCCCGTATTATGTACTGGATTATTTATCTTAATTATGTCAAAGCAGTGAATTTAATAGGAATTCGATTTTAAACATTTTCAGTAAATACACAATAAAACTGACAGTCAGTACAAGTGCGCCGTTCGTCCGCTTCGTTTCGTTTATTTAACTATAATAAAAATATAAAATGTAAAATTTTATTAGTGTCTGTAATAGAGTTGCATTCTCATTTAATTATGTCAAAAAGGACATATTTGAGTGGTTCAGAAAAAAGAAAAAGACTTGCGATTCAAAAAGAAAATATTAGCAAACTACCTAAGCTTACTTCATTTTTTACACTCGAAGAAACTAATAGGCAGACCGAGTTTTCAACCTCGTCATTTCAAGGTACTTCTAAATTTGAAAGTCCAGAAATTGGACCCACTTTTAATGATACAACTAGTGTTTTGAGTTCATCAGCTCCTAATTTAACGACAGCCTTAACACATTAGAGTTTAAAACTTCCAGCTTAAGCAACTGCGATTTAACAAACACACATATTATAGAAAATATATCTCACGACCTTGGTACTTACTGTGATGATATTTTAACTGAAGAAAAACGAGATATTTGAATACTCAAAGGACCAGAGTTTTTCCAGAATAAAAATAGTGACTTTTCTGAAACTTTTACAAGTTTTTCAGATGTAAGTGGTAAAACAAAAAATAGAAGCTTGACTAGAAATGTTTTCACCCGCAAATTGACGAATGGAGAGTGTGTAGAAAGAAGTTGGCTCATATATTCGCCGTTGAAGAAAGCTGTATATTGTTATTGCTGTCGTATTTTTAATTATACTATTATTATAGGCAACAGTTTGAGTTCTTCTAATGGATACAAAGATTGGAAGCATATTAGTAACTTTTTAATGGAGCTTGAGAATAGTTCACTACACAGGTAATTAATGATGAAGTATGTCTCAAGAAGCAAAACTATTGCTCGAGTGGATATGGATTAATTTCCCAATACAATGCTGAAATCAATTATTGGAAGAATGTACTCAAAAGGATTGTTGCTGTGGTGAAGTTTTTGGCTTCAAGAGGACTTGGATTTCGTGGTGATGATGAAATGTTGGGTTCTCAAAATAACGGTAATTATTTGGGATGCTTAGAATTAATAAGCGAGTTTCACCCTTTTCTAACTGATCATATACAAAACTACGGAAATCGTGGAAAAGGAAGTACATCATATTTGTCTGCAAATATTTGCAACGAATTTATTAATATAATAGGGAAAAAAAGTGTTAACAACGATTATTAGTGAAATAAATGCAGCAAAATACTACTCAATAAGCGTCGATTCCACACTAGACCTGTCTCATGTAGACCAACTCAATTTTATTGTACGGTTTGTTAAAGACGGAAAGCCTATTGAGAGATTTTTGCTATTTTTGCCTATCGAAGAGCATAAAGCGCAATACATGGCAGATACGGTTTTAAACTTTTTGGAAAACCTTAAAATTCCAATAAAAAATTGTCGTGAGCAGAGTTACGACAACGCCGCAAATATGGCAGGAAATTATTCTGGTCTACAGGCAAGAATTAAAGAGCAATGGAAATTTGCAATTTTCGTCCCATGTGCAACACATTCGTTGAATCTAGTAGGTGCCCAAGCGGTTGGATGTGTTTCAGAAGCAGTAGCATACTTTCAATTCGTCCAGAAATTGTTCAATTTTTTTTCGAGTTCAAACAATCGATGGAAGATATTAAAAGAATGTTTAGGCGGACAAAAAGTTCTGAAAAGCTTATCTGAAACCAGATGGTCTGCACGCGCTGGTGCTATTAATGCTTTACATAATGCTTATGATCATATTTTTGAAGCTTTATTATTAATTGCTAAAAACACTGATCAATCAGCAGAAACGAGAAACGAGGCAAAAAGTATTGGCAAAAAAAATGGAAAAATTGGAGACCATTATCCTAACTGAGACATGGAATGACCTTCTGGGAGCTATAAATAAAACAAGCTTAAGTCTACAGAATAATACTATAACAATGGACGTTGCAACAAAACTGTTTGCGTCACTTAGCGTGTATATTAGTAACAGTGGCGTAGTTATGGGGGGGATGATGGGGATAGATCCCCCCCCCAGAGCCTTTATTTCAATGTTTAATGCATTGACATATAAAATATAATATATTATAATTATGGATATAATCCACCATGTCCTTATCTTGGCTCTCAAATTATATATTTCGCCTATCATATTATCATTGATTATAGAATAGATAGATAGTCCATGGTATAGAGATATTAGGCTACTAAAATTATGTTTGTTCTAGCTGCCGATAGAATGCGTTGTATAATAGAAAAAATAATTATTTTACAATCTGTATAGATAAATACAGAACGAACGTCGAGCGCTGCCGCACTGGGCGGGGCGGGCCACGGGTGCTCATAACTCAGTATTGCATTGCGCCATTGTGGTCAGGGAATAAATATATTGGTACTTCAATTTTTCATTATACATGAAAAATAATTCTATAAATAGAAAGACGGTATTTTTCGCCGACCCCACGTGATTGCCTTCCCGTCTTCATGACTATCTATGATAGAGGTACCACCACCTTGCATCTAGCTCCCACCGCGTTCGTCGCTCATCTACCTATGAGAGAGGTACCACCTCCTTGCATCACAGCGACGCCAGCGCTCCATAACGGTTGCATCTTACGAGTAGTCGCCAAATATTAACATTGCGTTGACTATCTATCTATTCTATAATCAATGGTATTAGACATTTAGATTTTAGACTTTAAATAGAAGTTTGTTAATAGTCGTTACGCGTTAGTGGATTTGTAAGTTATGTTTTTATTCCGTTTTTCGTGTTCGTGTTAATTACAGACGTGGACATAACACATGAACAAAACAGCAGTGGCCCAGTGTATTTGTGAGTTTTGTTAAAGTGACTTGTAAAAATATGTTAACTAAGTAACTAACTTTTATTTCGCCATGTCTTCGCCATAAAATTTTGTATGCGTGTGTGGCAAAAAACAACTTGGAATGAATTCTACAAATTGGTTGCGTCATACTCAATCGTGTAAAAGTGTTAAGTCAAAACAAAAGTGTTTAAATATTAAATCATTCTTCAATATGAAAAGTATAAAAATTACAAAGAAGCATGACTTAGACACCTTGGATAACTCAGTACCTATCCCCAAACAAATTGCATTCAATGGTAAATAAATCAACTAATAATTCAAATATACATGTTTAGTATTCATATACTATAATACCTAGATATTTTTTTTAATTTTTTGCTTAAAGATTATAATAAAACAGAAAGAACCGTTCAAGTCAGTGTTGAATCTTTAGAAAATGACAATATTGAAATGCTTGTACTCAAAGGTAAATAAATAAGTATAATATTTTTTTTTTTTTTTTTAGAACTTTTAGTATAAACTATAACAGTTCAACAATTAAAATAATGTTAAATTTCACAATATATAAAAATATATAATATATAATATATATATATATAATAATATATAAAAACATAACAAGATAAGAAAAATAAACACAATTATTAAGATGAAAATAAAAATATCGAAGATAGTTAATTATAATATAGATAAGCATTACAATAGAAAGTTTCTTATTTTAATATTTAGAGATGTGGTTGTTAGCTATTCGGCTAACAGGTAAACATAAAATACAATTATAAAAATTGCAGTTAATTACAATTATAATAATAACTTAGGAATAATATTGTCGCATGAAATCGATAATTAGGTAATTAGCTAAGAATATGAAATGAAATGGTACACAATTTGATGTACTTACTATGATATATGGAATTACAATTGACCTTTATTTAGTAATGACGTAAGGAGTGACAGGATAATATTAATATTAAGTATAATATTAATTTTATGGTTCATTGAATTTATAAGAATTTTTGTGTTGACTCACAAAGTTAAAATTAGATACTTAATGAAATTTAAATTTAATTGCATTCTACTTTAATGTATATTTTTTCAAAGAAAAATTGGTTTTTTTAGTAAAGATTTTCGTCCTTGTACAGTTTTAACTACTACCCA